TAATATTTATAATTCGATCACAAAATATGAAAAGGTGTCCTATGTTCAAGTGTTGCTTGCACAGCCAAATATTCCTGTTGCAAAGACGTTTCTTCTTGGAGCATATTTCACAGACAACTCATTCACAGCAATCGACGTCATGAACCGTATAAACTATATGAAAAAAGAGTTTATTAATTACGGCATTAATTTTCTTGGATATGGTAGTGATGGGGATGCTCGGATGTTTAATGCGCAAAAGAAACTCATTAATTTTGGTGAAGTGACTATGTATGGATCGATTAAATTATGTGCTAATCTTGTGTCAGAAAATTTCGGCACACAGGACACGTTTCACATCCTCAAGAGATGGAAAAATCTTATGAATCAATTTTCAAGACTCATGCGTATTGGTAATTTTATAATAACTGTCAATCATTTGATTATAATGTATAAAAAATTTGACAAGGAATTACATGGAATAGTACAAAGTGATTTGGATGTAACTGATTTCATGAACTATGACTGTTTATACAAAATTACAAGTGAACGTGTTTTGGATCTCCTTCGGACTATGGAAAATACACAAGGAACGGTTTTATATTTGGAGTTGATTCAGTGTGGTTTAAAATCATTTGTGGAGCATGATACACCGATTTTTGAGCGTTTATTTAATGCCGTATATATGGTTAGTTTCTTAAGTCTATGGAAGACAGATATCATTAACAAAGGAATGCAATGTGAAAGTTTCATCACTCCTAGCTGCTACGAAGGACTCGAGATGAATTTATTATGGCTTTTACGATTGGTTATTGGCAAACGAGCTCACAACATATCTGAGAATTCTTCGCAACAGTGTGAAAGTGAATTTAGACATGTTCGCTCTTTAACTGGTGTTCAAAGTACGCAAATTAACTGCACACCGAAAATGTTCCTATCTCGTTTACACAAAATGGAACTGTTTGAACGAATAATGTTCGAGCTAAAGGATGAAATTTCATTTCCCGTTATTGAGCAACGTCAAGAGAGACACAGACGAGCCAATGATGACATTTGGAACGAAATTGATATTATCATCGAGAGTGGAATCTTCGCAGCTATTGAAAAGGCAAGAGAAATTGGAATTTGTCATCAAGAAACTTCTTTAAGAGATTTGTTAAAGTCTTCTAGAAGACGCAATATATGTGAGAATGTTCAGTCTCGAACACACTTTGTTGCCAACCGGACTATTTCTGAATGGGATAATGAAGAACCCGAGTTGATCGATGAAACCCTTTCTTTTCAAAATTTCGAGTTTTTAAGTACAAGATCTGACGATAGATATATTTCAATTAAAGAGGGTAATTCTACTAAAATCATGAAAAAAGATCAATCAATTTGGATGCTAGAAAATAACAAAATTCATGTTAACACCGATATCCGAATGATACAAAATCAAAACGAAGACTTTTGGATAGCCACTAAAGATGCAAAAGGTGACAATATTTTAATGTTTGATGAAGGAAATATACTCTTTGGAAAAGTTTTAAACTTTAAACGTCTTCATATTCGGTCGAAAAGTAAATCAACTTACTATTAAGATTTTGTAGAAATTGAACATTGTGACAACATTGCTGCAATGCTGAATCCTTTATATTTCATTGAGAATGGACGTAGAGTTGTAATGGACATTGTTAAATTTTTTTGAGTTTAAACTACAAGTGTCATGTAAATTTTAATGTAGATTTTTCGCAGCAACACATAGCTAGTTTCATTAATTCTTTTGAAGATGAGTAAAATTTAAATAAAATTTAAATAAAATTTTTTTTACAAAGTTTTTGTTCTTTACATTTGCCTTAAATTCATTTTTTTTATAATATTTGTACATTTACCGTATTTAACCGCTTTTTACCGCTTTTAACCGTGTTTAACCACATTTCACCGTGTTTCACCGCATTTAACCGCTTTTCACCATATTTAACCGCTTTTAACCACAAGTTCTTTCCCCTTGGACTTTTAAAGGTAACTTTCAGTAAATACAATAAAATCCAGGTTTTTTTAATTAGAATAATTTCGAATAAATAGAAAAACTCTTCTGAAGAATACGATAGAATTCTTCTAATGGAAAGAACCAACGGAAAAGGGTAAAATTAATAAATTTATGAGAAGTAACATAAAGGGAAAAAATAATATCCTCGAGGTAAAGAGAAGGCTCGAAAAAATAATGAAATATTATGAGGTTTAACTCTTTTTGCTGATGAAAAATAAATAAAAAAATTCTTTGAATAATTTCTAAGGAAGTTTTGCTTAGCTATTTTAAAAAATAGTTCGTAATATATTTTTTGTTACCAGAAAATTCGAAATTTATATTGTTATGGTCTTATCATAAGAAATTTTGAACACTTGTAACATATTTTATATGCAATAAATTATAATTGTTATTACTAACGTTCCATACGACAGCAAAAACGAGTTCAATGTTGAAAAAATAATGTAAAGTTATTTCAGTTCCAAATGCGCAATTTTTCCGATATCCAAACCAATTCATGTCATACTAAATAATAGCAAAAGCTAAAGTGCCAACTATGTAGCTTGCTATCAAATACGCAGAGAATAATATAAAACAGTTTAGTTCAACTGAAAAGGAATTCAACTTTATTAATAGAAAAATTATTGAATTATTTTTTTTGCTTTTTGTTCAACATGTACTTGTCGTTCGAAAATCAATTTTCTGATTTTATTTTTTTATTTCAATTATTTTTCATAAATTTTTCTTTTTTTTGGCTTTACAACAAACTTTTTATTATGTTTATGTATATAATTCTTTTAATCTTACTGTATAAAAGAAAATTGTTGTGACTTTTCATTCACAAATAATATCTCTTCATTCACTCGTGTTTTCTTAATTTTTGTAATTTTTATTCTTCAATTTCTCTCTAAAATTATTATAAAATACTTTTTTCATCTTTTTAATTTAATTCTTATTTTTCTTTCAACTTTTGTGACATTTGCTTTATCTGTCCTTTTATTTTATTCTCATCTTTACTAAGTTTCATTTTACCAGTTTAATCGGATTGAAAGATTTGGAGACTACGCAAAAAGTTTCTCTAATTAATTAATTATTTTGAAATCCATTTCATCAAAATTTGCGACAAATTCTGAGAAGTAGAAAAAGAGTTCGTGTAGAAAAATTGTTTATTGCTTTTTTAACATCAAACGAGTTTTGTTCAAGATACAAAAGCATTAAGAAGTCTCAATGAAAACTTTTTCATTATTAAGTTTGACGTTACGTTTCAAGTCCATTTCACAAAGCATGCCATAGCTGCCAATTCTTTCCATCCAATTCGACCGGTCTGATCTTAAAAAATACTTCCTTTTTCCTTCTACTTTAATAACATTTCTCTATTTTAAATATTCAATGGATTGAAACTTCATCATTTCTATTGCTTCCTTCCCTTCACTTCTATGCAATTTTAGAATATTTAATTTTTTAAAAAGTTTTATTGCTGTTTCTATCTCCTGTAAAACTTTTCTTTTTTAAGACTTTTTTTTCTAAAAGGAGAAACTTTTTTGTGAGATCAAAATGACACAATGTTTTACAATGGCCCTTTTACTAATTAGATTTTGCTTCCTTTGTAGCTTTTCACTGAGCTCATTTAATCTTTTTTGGGTATGGCTTATAATTTGTTAAATATGATTAATGACGGGATTGGGTTGCTGTAGAAAAAGTCACGAAATTGTTGACACTGTGATTACTTTTCGTCCTTTTTACTCTAAGAAAATGATACAGAAGTTAATTCTATTCTTTTATTATATTCAACATGTAAATATGATGATGTTATGAAAATTGATTTCATCATGCAGCAATGCATCAATCTGAATAAAAAATCTCGTTCAATATGAAGATTAATGAAGTTTCAATCTATTGAACTCTGTGATTTATTTTTATTGTAACACTTTTTAACTCTTATTAATTTTATTTTTTTGCCTAGCTAATACGATTTTACGTAAAGCACATTATTTATCACGATTAAAATATTGATTAGAAGAAAATTTGATAAAAATTTTCATTAGGAAGTAGCGATAGAATCAGCAACTAGTAGAGCAGTATTGATGATAGTTCATAGACACACACAATTTTTTTATTATCTTGATTTAAACTTTTTTTTTCCATTTAAACACTCAGAGGAAAAAGCGAAATTTTTTACAATTTTCAACGATCATTTAAATATGCACTGATGTAAATCGAAAATTGAAGGTAGAAGCGCAGTCATTTAATACAAAAAGTTTCCCGTTTTTCATTATAAAAAAGTATAAATACAATTTTTCTCGCTCATAAGAATTTGTTTAAAAAGGGTAGAAATGCACACACAAAATAAATAGTATTTAAGTTCAATGAAAAGGTTGAAAGGTTGAAAGGTTAAGTCAGTAGTGCTCAAACTGGAAAAGGTACAACCAAAAAATGTGACACAAGATTGATGGATATTTCTAGAACCCAAACTTTTACCCAAATATAAAATCTAGCAGTCTTTAATATAATTTACGATTAAAGTAGGAACTACCCCAAAATGCCAAAGAACACAAAATAATTTGAGCACCACTGAGCGTTTGAAAAGAAAATGGAACTTTCAATGATATATTTTTGTGTAAAGAAAACACATCAGAAACGGAAAAAGAGTGTAGGAAAAATTATTGATTACTAGTATGTTCAAAGTGGCAGCAGCGTAGGGTAACAATTTGTTGCTTGTCACTGTGGAAACTGTTGCTAAACCAGAATAATAATCATAGCATTTAACAAGCACTATTGCGTTCCTCATTGTTTTTACTCGATTATAATATAGTTGAATCAACCACCTGCCTGACAGTCAATAGAAATTATTCCATTCCATAAATTTTATATCAGATAAATTCAAGAAGGTCGGGTAGAATCCATAAATTAACGCTTCTCGTTGAATAACGAGAATTCAATCTTCTAGCTTTTACCACTTTCTTTTGTAAAATTTTAATTGCCTATATTTTATATCCTCACCATTTATCAGTTCCGCATTTTCAAACAATTTTCCTCTCTATTAAATATATTATTTTTATCTTTTCTTCTTAATTTATTTTTTCCAGACACTTTCTTACTAGAAATAAATTTTTCTTCGATTCTTTTCAAATCAATTCTTCTTTTCAATTAAATTATAAGAGAAATAAGGAGCGCAAAAAATACTTTTCACTACATTGGATTTAATTTTCTGTATTCTTATTCAATAACTTATTTGATCCACAAAGTGACGCAGTATTAGCAATGGATGGAATACTACCAGAACATGCATGACGACATGCTAATTGAGGTGATGCAGGATTTGAAAATCCTGATTCATGTATGGGTGATAATGTTGGACTTTTATTTCGTAAAACATTTTTTCGTCTTTGTCGTCGGATATTTTGCATTGCTGGCACTTGCATTGTCATTGATGGTTGAATAATTGATAAGGAGTCAGCTAAGTCCTGTAAATCCGTTGTCGTATTTTTAAGCTTTCGTCGATTTGGAGCCGGTGCATTCGGCACAGAGTGCAATGACTCATTATTACCATTATTACTTCCGTGTATATTGTCGCTTGAATTTGACCCAGATAAAGGACGAACTTGATTTTGTTTTGGCGTGCCAGTGTTACTACCACCTCGACATCGTGGACGTCTGTAGCGATTTATCATACGAAAAACATGTCGGAGTCTCACAGGCCATGGACGTACTAATTTCGAACGAGTTCGTTTACCATTTGAATTATTACTGTTATTAATTTTTGATGATGTTATTGAATCTAAATTGTTGCCACTACATGTAGCTGAAACATTTTCTACTGTAGATATTGTTGAAATGCTTTGTATGTTCTCATGTGTTGATTGATACATATTAGTACCATTATTATCTATATGATGACGTTCATTTTGTTGATGATGATTTGTGGTAAAAGTATTGGCACAACTTTCAATAGGAATTTCAATTTGTACATAATTTGGTTGTTGTATTTCAGCACCAGATGATGAGATTGAAGGTTGATTATTGTAGATAGTATGTAATGTATTACCCGGTGCATCTTCCGGACTGTTTGGTACATTAGAACAGCAATTCCATTTTCTACGCCATCGATGTTTACTTATATTAGTTTTCATTGTACATCTCTGCTTCTGATGTTCCAATTTCCTTGGCGCTCTTATCCGGAAACTACAATATGCACATTGCTCTGAATATTGTACAATTTTAGATATTCCATTTTGAGATTTCGTAACATGAGAAAATTCAGAGCAACAATGAAGTGTTCTTGTGGCATTTTGATTTGATACTTGAGGATTAATTTCATTTGTACTCGTCAATGTCGTTGTAGTTTCTTCCAAGACAGTACACACATAAAACGCTTGCTGTGCTACACTGTCTGTCGTACTATTGTCAACTGAACTCGATTTTGTATTATTGGACATATTCTCATTAAGATCTTCACAACAATGTAATTTTTTGGGACGGTGTCGTGTTTCAGATGGTTTTATTTTTGAGCAGAAATAGATTTCTTTGGCGAAAATTTTGTTTTTAGGTTGAGTGGCGGGACCATTAACATTCGTATTTGTTGCTGTTTCCGTAATTGTCTGACGATGATTTCTAATGTATTCGTAGGTTGTGAGCCCAAGATAACAAATGTATACATGAAAAAAGAATAGATGTAGGAGGAGACCCGCTGTAACAGCTGCTAAGATTGCAATAATACCGAGTATTACTAAGAATATTGTATTGTAAAGGCCAATTCCAATTCCATCCTTCGATGAATTCGTAAGCGTTGAATTTGTGTCCATCAAAATTGTCTCGTTTAACATTGTATCGTTTATAAATTGGTTAATTTGCGTTATAAAATCATCTTCGTTATTCTTAGTCGATAATGTCGATGCGTCATCAATAACAGTTGAATTCTCCCATAAATTTAACCAACCAGGATTCACATAAAATAATATGATTTGAGCCAAAGCTGCGGCCAAAATGACCAAAACAGCCGCAACAGCACTTACCACGCACATTAAAAATGGCACATAGTTTCTTGTTTTACTAACGCAGCTATTTAAATATTTGCAATGATGATCGAATGTTTGTACACACTTATTACAGACGGAACAATGCTTTGTTCGTGGACTACTTGTCTTGATATTACACAAATGACACCTGCCATTTTCGATAACATGTGAATGCTTTGAACGATCGAATTCAGGCACTACTTTCCGTGTGCTTATTTTTCTCAGTTCAGCATCTGCAGGATCAATTATTAATGCAGCTATGTGTGTAAGAACATGAATGACTAGTAAAAAGCTTATAGTTACATACAGTGGCAGTCTAACGTTTACATGAAATGCTGGTATAATTACTATATATGCTGTTAGTACAAATGCAATCAACGTAATCCACCCGACAAGTTGAAGTGGATGTAATGGTAGCTGAAGTCCATTAATCCTTCGATCCTTACGATACTCATTAGCTCCCAAGTTATTTTGAAAAGATATTATTTTATTGAACCAACAAATATTGGGCGATGTGTGCGTAGTATTTTGCTGTACTGTTGCACTTTTGTTATTGTTTCTTCCACTAATTTGCTCTGTGAGCATGATATTGACACCTGATTAATGAAGAAATAAACCAATTCACGGTTAGTGAAAGGAACGTCATAATTTTTTAATTGTTCACATTATAACTTAATCTTCTCGCTCTTGTTTTTTTTGTCACTCTTTATTCTACTTCAAACAACAATGCAAACAAAAAATCATAAGTTTTTCACACTTATAAGTATCCTGGAACCTTCTTTTATATGCCATGAAATTTCACTTTCTTATAAAATTTTCATATCTCAAAAATTCAGTCACACAACACTAGGATATCAAAAATACATTTGAATGTGAATCTAATGTCAGTACTTGACACTAACTTATTCTTTTTGTCTCTTGAAAGACTCTCTCTTATATCCTTTTAACTTTTCATTCTTTTGATACAAAAAGCACTAACAGCTATTTTGGTTTCGTTCACAGAAAAAGCAACAATTTTTCCTTTATAAATGGATATGTGGAATATATTTTTATTCTAGTTCTTCGTTTTTTTACTTTCTTTTCTCCTTCGTTCTTTCTTCTTTCGTAAGACCCGCAAATTATGTAATGAAATTATTAAAATGTTTTTTGTTTCATTTTTCTACGACTTTCCTTAATTAACTACTTTGTTTCCTTTTACAATTTTCTCACTCTTAATTCAATTATTTTTAAACTTCCATTCAGTTTTATTTCGCTTCCTTTGTGTATTTATTTTTCCTCGCACTTCCGAAAAAGCTATATTTATATAAGGACTATTTTTAGACGCTTCTGTTTTTTAGCATTTCATTGAACTTTAATATTGTATATGTCACTTTAATATTAATATATTTTTTAGCTCTTTCTCATTTTTATTTGCATTCACCGAATCTCTCTTTTTATATCTGATAAAAAAAAATATCAAAAATGAATCTCAACTTTTTTTATATTTGTTCACAATATGATTTATAATGCGAGAGAGATATGGATACAATAAAGTGTATGTATACAGAGATAGTGAAAATGTTAATGCATTAAGTAATGTGAAAGGTTAGAAATTTTTTTTTATCCCTTTTTTCTGAGTATATAAAAAGTCATCTTTTTTTTCTCTTGCTATACACAACAGTAGCAAGAAAAAGTAAGGAATGAGAACTAAACGCAAAGAGATTTCAACTACTACTGAAGAGTGGGAATGAAAAAGTTTTCGAGATACTATCTACCAAAAAATATATTGTGTAAAGCTACGACGTGGTTAAGTTCGTACTGCGCATGTCTTTATGATAGCGTAGGGGAAGAAATAACAAGTTCGAGACGATAATACTGAGACAACAGTGTCATGTCTCATTAATTATTATTCCTGGCGTAATTACTTATGCTTTTTGTTGTCATAAATGCATAATGAGGAGCAATAAAAATTATTTTTTATAAATTAGTGTAACAAGTCAGAGAAGCTTTGATGTGTATGGTAATGAACAACGTGACATAATTCACGTCATTTAAACATGCTGTTCGGATTCTTTTATTTCATGTTTGTATAATAATTAAATCTGAATTAACTGGCCTAAAGATTTTCATCCTCAATATTTCAATTATGAATTTGGACACAACTTTTAAACCTTTAATAAAAAGTCATATTTTATTATATCTTGCCAGAGATGGAGCATCTTAAGCCAACCTCTTCTTTACCACATTCATCACACGTAATAAAATTTTTGATCAGCTCAATATAATGTGTAATGAACATGGAGCTGTTTTGAGCTATCGTAAGTCCAAGATCGAACCAAGCAGTCATTGGTCTGCAAGACTTACATCATTTTAGAAAATTAAATTACCCGCAACCAATCTTTAAATATTCTTAAAATTGAAAATATCATCTCTGATTTACCACAAATTTCACACTCTTACGAGTCTCATATGATTTAATTTTCCTTCCCATAAGCTCGAGGATGTTTGTTGATTAATTGAATACAATTTTGCAAGAGCTTTCTTTACAATTTATCGTACATATGTACATACATATTGCGGTAAATAAAGAACGAAATAACATTATTTTGAGAGCTATCATGAAATTTTTGTTGTAATTTATCTACATCACATTTTTTAAGGAGAGCTTTTTTTTCCCTACCATGTTTGCATAAGCGTGAAAAACGAAAATGTGCAGCACATGTGATTGAATATCATCATTATGTTGAAGAAGCTACATACATTTATTTTTGAAGATGATGGAAAACAAATAAAATTACGTTCAAATAATCATGATTATTATTACAAATGTGTCATTAAGTTGACGTGATGGAAATTTGGAGAAGGTAAACATATAGCAAAGCACGGTAGTAAAATTATCAATGAATAATTCATAGGTTCTTTGAGGTGAATTACCTTTCGATGTAGAGCAGTAAGTTTACAATTCTATTGTAGGAACGTTCAAAAAATCATTTAAACACGGCAAAACATTTCAAATTTATCAGCAGCCTACATACCTAAGTTCTAGGAAAAATCTCAACATTTTCCGAAAACAGTAGACAATAGGAATTCACAACAAGAAGCACGCACAACGTACGACAAAAAAGTAAATGATGAATAATTTACAAAAATGTGTCTCATGCCACATCCACATCCAAAATGTCAATCACATCACTTCCGATTGACATCGGAAAAATTACAGGACATGCCGTCGTAGTTTAACAGCCATTTAGCTGAAGTTCAATCTGGATTAACAGTATGTACAGCACTCATTTGAAGTTTAACGAAAAATCGTCAGCGTTTGTCGAACTTTGTGCTGTGAAACATAGCTACTGGTGCTAAATGAGTAGAGCAGCATATAAGACTAATAATGAAGCATAAGCTTTGATTGTCACAGAATAAGAAGAAATAAAAGCACTTTACAGTCACTTGAGAATATAATGAGAAAATAGTCTCGATGAACACGAGAAGGTGAAAAGCTCGTCATTCACAGCAGCTCAAAAGCTTCTTTTTCATCAATAAGAATCAGAATTATTAACAAAGTATTAAATAGTACGAATAACTGAATGTTGATACCAGTTGATACTATAATAACATCCATTTTAATCAGCATCAAAAGGAATTCAAAGTATTTATTTTTAGAACCGAGAAATCGCTTGTGTAAACTCAAAATATTAATTAAGGTAGGTTTTCAGTTTGTTTGTTCTTTGCAAAGATAACGATTATTAATAGACAGTGAACATTACAAGTAGATAGGTGGTAGAGTAAGAAGAAGAGATTTGTGAATTGAGGAAAATCAAAAGGATTTTTCATGCAAATATTAATTTAGCAAAGCAATTCTTGTAGCTCTATAGATTATTTTCAGTTCTTCAAACGTTTAGATTGAGTAATTAGAAAAGTTCTAAAGGATTTTATGCAGGATATTTAGATAGTGTGAAAATTTCGAGAGAAAAAGGAAAATCATAAAATAAGGATAAGAAAAACAATCAAAAACTGTAAACATAAACTCGCGACTTACCTTATTTTGCATGAAAAACGTAAGAAGAGTAGATAATTGTACTATATACGTATCCTAATATTGCCTCTAGTTCCTTTAATGTGTAATTAAGCACTTTTCACTAGTTATTTAATTAATTTAAACCTGATTTTTCACTAAATCTTTGACGGACTTCGTGTTATTATTATTCTTGTGCGGGGTTTTCTTGACTTCATTTCAGTTCAGTTCAAAATATTCGTTGTTTCGTTAAAAATTCGAATTTTTTAAAGTCGTTGAGTAAAATTTGACGAAATATTGTTTTTGATGAAGAAAACTTAATTTTGCTTACTATAATTAATAAAAACAATAATTTATAATGATGAACTATAGTAGAATTAAGCATTTTTATGCAGAAATACTGAAACAAATGTAAATTATATTAACAAAACAAAATCAATTGAACAAACACTGAAAATACAATTAATTATGCTAATTAAATCAATAATCGAACAAGGTTTTTTTCGGATATTTTCCTAAGGACTGCTTTATTGAGCTTTTCATATTTTCTATACAAATTGATATTTTCTTCTTCTTCCAAAATTATAATTTTCCCACATTTACGTCATCTCAATATGATTCGGTATTCATTCATTCAATAATTTATTTATTACGAATCAAAAGGCACTAATTTTAATTTTTGCTGAAGTATAGACAAAAGAATATAGTATGAAAAGGGAAATAGGGATAATTGAGTTTAGTTCCACTTCGACCAGCGTGCATCAAGAACTAAATATGTAGGAAAAAATTCTTTGTGAAAACTTAAAGGAGCTAATTTATTTATTACAAGTACATTAACAAGAAATTGTGCTTTAATAATAAAATAAATATGTTGAGCGATTTTGTTGATTGACAAGACTTTAATAGCAGAAATTCTACAAATTCGTGTATATCACCGACCAAATAATTGCTAGACTTCAAGTCAACTAATTCCACCAAACCTCAAACTATTAACATAGAAATCCGTTTATATATCTACGGAATTATTAACATTGCATTGCTACAATAGTTATACACTTTTTGTTTTCTAAAATCCTGTATTGCAACGACACACCTTAATAACACAAATAAAAAAATTTGCAAGTCTTTAAAACTCTCAAATGAGGTTTTGTCATCTTTAAAAAGTTGAATGCAAACGTCATTATCGTCATCATGTATGTAAATATTTCTTTTGTTCTCAAATATCTCCATTTTTATGCAGGTTTCTTAATTATTTATGGTGATGAATCCAGCGTTGTAAGGCTAGTTGTTTCTGACACATCTAGCTTTGCCTTCAATCAATACCGATTGTACAAATACTACCCAACTGCATAAGTTAAGAATCAAGGCAACCAAGCAAGCAGCTAAGATTCTAATTCTGAAAACCTCATTCATAAAATTTCAATAAATTTACGGAATTTACTCAAATATACCATTAATAATTGTCAACTTCCATCCATTTCGATATCATAATAAAGTTCTGCTTTAAAGGCACAGAACAATGTTGAAATTATTACTTTCCACTATAAATTTTCCACCATATCATACGATATTACCACATAATAAATTAAAATGAAACAAGAGTAGATAAAGATCGAAAGAGATAAGGAAGTTCATTCCAGTTTTACATGATATTATCTGCAGTTTTACATCAACTAATACGAGAACAATACTTTCATTTAATAACTGTTTTAAGAGCAGAAGCATGTTACCTTTCGAGTAAGTACACTATGTGAAAAAAATATACTCAGACAACTCATGTGTGCATTAGAACAATTGTATCTCATTGAATGTTCTAACATGCATAATGCTTTGTCTGTTTCTTCTTTCTACTTTATTTTTATTTTTTTTTATTTTTCTCGCATTTCAAACATTGTAATTGTCCTCAACCTCGCTAAGCAGATTTGATGTAACTTAATATAACTGGAAGTCTAGAAAAATGAATTGAAGCTTAATAAGTTCGAAGTAAATTGTCCAGTCTTGTTGGATAAGGTTATATTGTGATTTAAGGGTGAATAATTTGGTTCAATTGGATTTAGAAGAGATTCAAACCAAAATATTGAAATTGAGGGCAATTCGTTCAAGAATATATTGATATTTAAGACAAAACTAGTTAATCAATAATAGTTTAACCTTCAAAACCTATAAACAATAATCAAAATTAGGTAACTGATT